GAGCCCCCGTCTTCCCCGTTCCCATCAACCACCGTGGATTTTAGGCCCCCTAAAAATTGGAATGTGCCTTTATTCCCGGTAATTCCCGAGGATTCCCAAGGATTTGGGGCTCTGGCCGTTTCCCTCACCCCCCTGAGCTCACAGGGAGGGGAATCCCCCCTCAAAAATTCCATCTGGGAGCTGTGAGCCCCCATCATCCCCATCTCCCGGGATTCCTCCACCTCCATCCCACTCAGTTCCGTGGATTTTAGGCCCCCCCAAACGAGGATGTGCCTTTAATTCCCGAGGATTCCCAAGGATTTGAGGCTCTGGTCGTTTCCCTCACCCCCCTGAGCTCCCAGGGAGGGGAACCCCCCCAAAATTCCACAGTTTCCAGGTCTCCTAAAACGAGGATGTGCCTTTATTCCCGAGGATTCCCAAGGATTTGAGGCTCTGATTGTTTCTCTCAACTCCCCCCGAGCTCATTGGGGATCCCCCCCAGAATTCCACAGTTTCCAGGTCTCTAAAATGTGAATGTGCCTTTATTCCCAATAATTCCCGAGGATTCCCAAGGATTTGGGGCTCTGGCTGTTTCCCTCACCCCACCCTGAGCTCACAGGGAGGGGAATCCCCCCCAAAATTCCACAGTTTCCAGGTCTCCTAAAACGAGGATGTGCCTTTATTCCCGAGGATTCCCAAGGATTTGAGGCTCTGGCCGTTTCCCTCACCCCACCCTGAGCTCCCAGAGAGGGGAATCCCCCCCAAAAATTCCATCTCCCGGGATTCCCTCCCCCCCACCTTCCAGCGCCCTCAATTCCTCGGTTTTCAACCCCAAACCTCCCGCTCTTCCCGAGGGCTTTGCCAGCTCCTTTGAGGAGCCGTTTCCTCCTCCGGGAATAACCCCCCGGCCAAAAAAAAAACCCAAAAAAAACTCCCGGGAGAAAGAATAAAAACCCTTCTGGAGCTCCGGGAGCCCCTGAAAGGCTCTTCTGTTCCGGGCTCGGCTCCCTCTGACCCTCGGCCAGCAAATAAAAAAAAAACCCTCAACCCCAAAACAACAACAACAACAACAACAACAGCAACAACAACCTTTCCCTTCCTTTCCCTTCCTTTCCCTCCCCCCCTTCCCGCTTGGAATTGCTCCCGGAGCTCGGCGGGGACTCCTCGCTGCTCCCCGACGACCTTTCCAGCCCTCCCGGGATTGGAGGGAGGGTTTGGGTTTTTTTTATTTTTTCCAAGCCCCGATTGCCCAAGAATTCCCCGATTTCAGGGGGGGCAGGAATCGGGATCTCCACCCCTACCCCCACCCCCTTCCCAACCTCCCCCCTCTGTTGGGCTCGGGGCGGGGGTTTAATTTTTAAGCCTATTTTTAAGGTCTGTTTTTAAGGCTATTTTTAAGCCGAGTCTATTTTTGAAGAGGGGCCGATGGATGGCCAAGCGGGTCGGGGCAGCTCCAGAAAACTGGAATAATTCCGGGAATTACGTGGAAAACACACCCCACCCCCCAAAAAAAAAAAACCAAAAAAACCCTCCCAAAAAACCGCTTCTTGTTGCGCTCCCGGGACCCGAAACCTCCCCCCCCCCGCCCCGGGGAGGCACCGCTTGATGAGCCCGGGAATTGTTAATGGTTATTAATTACCGCTGGAATTAGGGGCGGGATGGGATTCCAGAGGATGAGTCATGGGGAGGGGGTGGCGGATGTCCCGGTTTTTGGGGGAAAGGAGGAGGTTTTTGGGTGAAAGGAGGAGGGTTTTGGGTGAAAGGAGGAGGTTTTTGGGTGAAAGGAGGAGGTTTTTGGGTGAAAGGAGGAGGTTTTTGGGGGAAAGGGGGAGGTTTTTGGGTGAAAGGAGGAGGTTTTGGGGTTGAAGGAAACATTTCTGGGTGAAAGGAGGAGGTTTTTGGGTGAAAGGTGGAAGTT